TACCTCCCACCACACGATCAACACCAACGAGTTGCTCTCGGCCAGTTCTACGCTGCCCTTCCACCCTCCTTCTCTCTACCAGCCACCCCCCTCCGCCAAAGGGTTTACAAATGTGGTGGATTTCCTCCCACCTCTTGACAAGGTTGAAGCGCAGTTCAGTGTGGCAGCCATCTTTGTACGCCCCTTTTTCGTGGGCACGAACCGCACCCTGATGCATATGTTTGAAGATCCGGTTATGCTCAGCCGCATGAATAGCGCTACCCAAGCGGCGGCAACAACCTTCTTCAACAGCATGCAGTCATTCAGTGGACAGGTTTCTGCACGGACATTTGACGGCAATGGCTTGTCCCAAGGGATGCCGTTTGTGTGGCAGGCTTTGGATCCGAATGTGGCGCCATTTTCTATCACTTCTTAGGATGGTACATTTGAGCGCTCCTCTGCTTTTTGTATATTGATGTATGTACTTTCGACACTGATGTGATGGGGCACCTATTTTTTCTCTCTTCTATTTCCCCTGCAGCAGATAATTATCGTTGGATGCCAAAGTGCTCAAATTCCTTCGTATTCCTAGAGTGATGATGGGAAACCCCCTTGTCAGCTTTCCGGAACCCGGGTGTGTAACAGAAATGCATCCTTTCAGCTGCGAAGGAAGAAGTCCCGAAACTTTGTCGCCATTTCTTCGGATGGAGCAAAAAAAAAGGAGATCTACAGAACCAACCTCTTCTCGAACTCACTGCCGCAGAAACTTCCTTCACCAACTTCTTTTTAAGGCCCAGCCATCAAGCACTGCAGCTCAAACACACGTAAGCTTCGTCCCTTGCCATACTCGGTGAAAGGCTCAAAGTGTCGTGATGAACTAGCCCTCTCTTCACTCTATCTGTTCGTGCCTCGTAGGTCTACCGAGTACTGGGGCTCGAGTCAGGAACCCAAGGGGCCCAGTTGAGTCGACAACTCCTGCTGTTGGGGGCCGTTGGGTGGGTTTATTGGAATAATGACATTGCTTTCCTAACTCGGTGGTCAGCCTGAACAAGTCCCGCCGGGTTCAACCCATATCCAGGTTGCCAGGTGCCCCGAAAACGTTTTCTGATGTGGATTTGCCAAAGGTCGAGTTCGAGAAAAAGCCCGTTTGTTTCAGAATTGGATCCTAGAGGAACAAGACTCTGTCAGACGGGGTTCCCTTTGGTCCCTTTGGTCACTCTGGTCCCTCTGGACTCCATATCGCATGCCAACTTCTGGGTTCAGTTAGGCAAAGCAACTAGTCAGTGGTGACCTTTTCCTCCCCCGCACCAGCATATCCCTGCTTGGGCCCTGCTGGGCCCTGGGCTGGTGGTGCAGATCAACAATCATGCAGGTCCAGGGATGCGGAGACCACTTTGGGGAGGGTGTTTCTATTCGCTGCTCCTCGCTAGCTTCAGGCCAGCAGGCCCTTCAACCCAGCCCTTTGGCAATTGAGGATGCCCGACCGCGTCTGATCTCCCGGACGCCACCCTGGAAAAGCCACCCACCCAGCGTCTGGTCCAAAACTGCCTGCGTGCGAACTAAACGGCGACCGAGTGTTCGGTACCTGGCCCGTACCTGGACGTCCGTGGGGCAAGCCTTGTTGTCGCAAAAGAGCGCCCGTTCTGCGAAATAAGGATCTGCCCTTTTTTGCGCACAAGGACGACAACCTACCGAGTAGTACAACCCGGCAGACGAGGCCAGCAGGAGACGTTCCTCTTCCCACCATGTGGTGGAGTCCATGCGCAAGCCTCCCACCCTCTCTCTTCCTAGACTCTGCGAAAGAAATCCTCCTGCAAGCTCTACCTACTCTCTTCCTCCCACCATCCCAGCCCGGAAAGCATTTCTTTCATATGTTGTGTCCTTTTTCTCTCCTTTGCCCCCCCCTGTTTGTACAATAATCCCTTGATAACGCTGCTGCTTTCCTGGTGAACCCAGCTTTTTGAAAACGTGGTCCCTCCCCCTCCTCAAGCCAGCGTCGAGTGTGTACAGGTACATCTCTTCCAACGAGACGAGAGCTATGATGAACCCATGACACTGCATTACACACTCTGCGACGACTCTATCTTTGAATGACCCTCCCCGTCGCAGTAACCACACACAGTGACATGCCATCTCGTTGTATACGTCCGGCTACGAAGACTCTTGGTTGGCCCAAGGAAATATAGCACAGACCTGTCGCAATCCGGGTCAAGATGGTCGACACATTGCACCGTAAGTATTCAAGCCACTACCACTCAATACGAACAGACGGGTACTGAATATCGACAGCATCTCCTGAGGTGATTGCTACTTGGCCTAAACCGAACTATGTCAATCCTGACACAAGAGGCCCAGGCCTGGTCTACATGTGTATCATATTCGCCGCTATTGGCATCATTACATGTACAGCCCGAGTATACTCACGACTGTTTATAACCAAGGCACCCGGCCTGGATGATCTCCTGGTGGTTATCGCCCTAGGGTTCCTGACCGCCTTGGCCGTCCTGGTCATCATCGGCAATAAAAAATACTATAGCGGCCGGCACATCTGGGACATCCCACCCGACAGCTTTGTCGGTGGACGTGCCAACATCTGGGCCAGCCTGTGGTGCTATGTTATCGGCATCACCTTGATCAAGATTTCTGTCCTGTTGTTCTATCGCCGCCTCAGCGTCAAGTTCAGCAGGGCCTTCCTGATCGCAACGTGGATCGGCATCATTTACAACGTCCTCTATTTCCTCTCCTTTGGCCTGACGCTCTTGCTCCTCTGCAGTCCCCTGCACTCGTACTGGGACAGCTTCAACCCCGTCTGGGCCGCGACGCACCACTTCCACTGCGGTTCCGAGGGTGCAGCGCTCCCTGCCTCGTCCGCGTTCAGCGTGGCGGGTGACTTTTACAGTACCCTGCTCCCACTCATCCTGGTCTACTACCTGGAACTCCCCCGGCGGCAGAAGATCGCCCTGTACGCGCTGTTCGCGCTCGGCTTCATGGCCGTCGCTGCCGGGCTGGTCCGGACGGTGCTGATGTACAACTTGCTGAACGTCGACTACGACTTCACCTGGGAGCTGTGGTTGACCTGGATCTGGGCGATCTTGGAGCTGTATCTGGCGCTGTTCGCCGCCAGCGCTCCGAGCCTGAAGCCGTTCTTTCGACATTTCTTTGTCGAGTCGCTCAGCAGCCTTGCGAGGGGCTCGAGAAGACGCGGCGAATATGGCCATGACAACAGCCACGGCACTGGGGTGGACCCAATGTCAGGAAAAGACTTGGGAGGAGTTGGAGGGAAAGGGTTGGGGACATTCACGTCCGAGACGACCAAAGGTGACGCCAGCGTGACCTTTACGACCGACCTCGAAGGGGGCAGAGGTCCTTGGGAAGGTGAACGTAACGAAAGGGCAGGATCTCGCCAGAGTTGGTTCCTGGCCGATGGCGAGAGCGACGACAACGGGACGAAGCATTTCGAACTCCGGGCCAGCCAGGACGGGAAGAAGATGATTCCCATGCGCGTCTACAAGCGCAGTGATTACCCTACCTACGACATCCCCGAGAGATCTTCCGAAGACCCCTTTGCCGACGCCGGCGAACGTACCCAACCCTTCCACCAGCAGTATCAGCCACACCCCGCGTCTGCGGAAGAAGCCACGACGGCATTACCACAGCGGCCAGACTGGCCTCTACCCATTATGATGCCGCCGCCGACGCCGTCGACGCCGCCGCAGACGACGACAACAATGATGATGATGATGGGGACGGAACAGCAACACGAGCCGCGCGAGTTCCTCGCCAACCCGCGGCTTTCTTCGCCGCCGTACTTGGAGAAATAGATGCGTTATTGGTACCAAAAAGGAACGATAAAGTCCTGTCCAGTCTAGTCTAGTCTAGTACCCATAAAAATAAATGTAAAATGTAAACAGTAACAATGACATGAGAGGACATGAGAGGAGAGTGAGAATGACGAGAGAGAGATATAACACGCAACAAATACCCGCATTATCATGTCGAGGAATTACATGGTCTGCTGCAGTTGGCTGGCTAGCTAGCTGGCTGGCTGACCTGACCTGACCTTTTCCAATAAAATGTTCGTGGCTGATGGGGAATGGAGCGCCGTCACCAAATTAGGCCGAGGCTTGACAAACTGCCACTGACTGCTAAGCACCCAGCACCCAGCACCCAGGGCAATCCACGCACCACAGGCACGCACCGCAGGCACGCACCGCAGGCACGCAACGCAGCCAACGCAGGCAGCCGCCCCGCGCAGCCTCCCACCCGTCGCCGAAAAGCTTTGTTTCTACCGAGTAATTACCTCACCTACTCCATCACCCAGTCAGACACTCATTAGACCGAGCCAGACGCCTCTTACCACCGGCGTCGACCCAGACCTACGTGACCTGTCAGCCTCACAGAGTGCGGTCTCACCTCTCTTCAGTCAAGAGCAATCAATGCGCAGGCCAAGTCTGCAAGACGAGGATGTCGATCACCAGCATCTGGTACTCGCCCTAGCCCTGCACCACCACGGCCCTTCCTCTTGAAGTTGACCGTCCTAATGCGAGGCACACTTCATCACCGGGAATTTCTCCTTGGTGTGCTTGATGCACCCGTCCAGCGCCTCCTCAGCCGCAGTTGCGGAACGCCTTGCCACGATTCAGATGTTGGCGAGCTTGGGATTGGTCACCTCAGGCATATATGGCTCTCGCCGAATCTGCCTGCTGGTGTAGGCATGTCCAGGGCAGAAATAGCACTTGTGGTGCCACGTCCAAGTGGTGCTTTTCCTGCTGCACAGTTGCCTCGTATGAGCATTCTCGCATGTACAGAGAGCCGCGTGCTAGGCTGTACAGTCTGCGCCTGCAAATGGTCAGGCTTATGCAACTACCGGTTTACGATGACTGAGCTCAGCGGCACCCTTGTTGGTCGAACTTCACAGCACATTTGACTTGACTTCGATTTCTCCAACTTCTTGCGGCAGCCATCTTCATATTTCTGTTTCATCACGCCTTGCTTCATCACCACCCGCCTCAGCGGAAACAATGTCCGACCCGTTCTCTATGATCAGTTTGGCCGCAGCAATAGTGCAGTTTGTCGATTTCGGCGCCGTAATCATTCAAGGTGTACGAGAAGTCAAGGGTTCAATCTCTGGTGCAACCGAGCGAAATCGGAGCGTCGAAGTTGTCGTGAGCGACTTGAGAAATCTGGTCCTGAAGCTCAGTGAACCGCACCATTCGCGGGAAAGTGAGGATGAGAAGGCTCTTGGTCGCGTTGCCGATGAGTGCAAGATTCTGGCAAATCAAATTCTCGACCTTCTCCAGAAGATCAAGGCAAAGAACCCCAAATCAACCCTCCATGTCGTTTGGGCAGTACTCAAGAATCAAAAATATAAGAGACAAAAGCTGGAACTAGAAGAGAGATTGGAAAGTTGTCGGAACCACCTGGAATTCCAATTAAACTATTTGACCAGGTGACACCCTTTCTACCTTGATCTGGGCAGAGAGAATAACGATCTTACAGTGCTGAGGTGAAGACTAGACTGGATACACTGGTCAACTCTGCAGAAGGTCTAGCTGAAAAATTCGAGTTTCTTCGAACGCATGTCGAGCAACTTCGCTGCGGAACTGGTGTTGCGTCTTTCAGCCCCGAGGCTCAAGAACAAATCCGAAAGCTCGTGCATCTTCCAGACGACGAAATCAAACAGCAACGCGTTCTAAAAAGTCTCGCCTATAGTGAAATGGAAGCACGATTTAAAGAAGTCCCCCAAGAACACAGCAAAACCTTCGAATGGATCTTTGAAGACACCACCCAAGGAAGCAGGGTAGACAACGACCACTCCAGCCGAGAGTCATTTGTGGATTGGTTGTCATCCGGACGAGGGATCTTTCACATATGCGGAAAACTGGGGTCTGGAAAAAGCACATTGATGAAGTTTTTGTGTAATCACCCTCACACTCAAAGGGAATTGCAACGCTGGGCAGGTAAGCTGCAAGCCGGAAGGGCAATGCACAGTCACATCGGTCCTTGAGAAGCACAGACTAACATGTTCTTGAAAGGCGGCCGGAAGCTAATATTTGCCAAATTTTTCTTCTGGAGGGGAGCCAAATCCGTGGAACAGAAGTCTGTCTCCGGCCTCCTCCGGTCGCTGCTCTACGAGACGCTACGTGCCTGCCCCGAACTCATCCCCCGCGTGTTACCAGGCCTCTGGGCTCAGGCCGAGTCCTCGTCCTGGCAGGCGGACATGAAGCTCGATCTCGGAAAATTGGAGGCCCGAGCAGCAGTCTCCAGCCTCATCACGCTTCAGAACTTGTACAAGGAGTACTGTTTTTGCTTCTTCATTGATGGTCTGGATGAATTCGAGAAGACTCCTCAGGACGGCTATGGAGATCTGATCAGGCTGCTTGGCAGCTGGTCCGAGGCTGCACCGGAAGTCATTAAGATCTGCGTCTCAAGCAGAGAGGACCTGGTTTTCATGGACGCGTTCTCTAGCGAAAGGAGATTCCGCCTTCAAGATCTAACAAGAGAGGATATTCAACGTTACGTTCGGGAGACTTTGCCCATAGCAGCTCACGAACAAACCGAAGGATTAGTCGGAAAGATAACCGAAAGGGCTGATGGGATCTTCCTTTGGGTGGCTTTGGTGACGAAGTCAATTCGAGATCAGTTGGAGGAAGGGTACGAGCTCTCTGTTGTCGAAGAAGAGCTTAACCGGCTTCCGAACGAGCTGCAAAAGCTCTTTGAGCATCTCCTCGAGACTATCAACCAATCTCCCGGTTGCAAGACAGCTCACCATACCTTTGCGATGGTTCTGAAGCTTAGACATTACAGCCTCGACCTGATGTTGCTGGCGTATTCTTTTCTGGTTCATTACGAAAAGAACCCGGGCTTTGCTATGGATGCATCATCCCCGTTTTTGCACACAGACGACACTGGCGGAAGAAGTCGAGAAGATAATGCACGCAGAAGACTGTACCGAGACTGCAGACACCTTCTGGAAGTGAAGGAAAACCAGGATGACGGGAATACGATCACCGTCACCCACCGCTCCATCCTCGAATTCCTCGAAAGTCAGGCTGTCAAGGACGCGATGAAGTGTGATCTTGATGGCTTCAGCACGGAAGAGGCAATTTCTCAACTCTTCCTTGCGGCGTTGCGGCACAAAAGGGAAAGATTTTGCGACGAATTTTTGAGTCGTGTCGTTTATAACATCATCTGTATGCGAGACGAAAGTGGCATCGATCAAGAACCATATCATTTTCTGGAAGCTTTGAGTGCCGCGGCGAGTCCCGTCGCGATTCACGACCCTGGGACCTGTATGGAGCCACAAGAGTATAGACGGAAGGTGATTTATCCTGCGTACGCATTCCGTGTCCCTGTGACGGATGCTGATACAGGAAGGGCAGACTACTGCCTCACATCTCCAGTCTATGTTTCGGCATTTGTGGGAGCTTGCCAATACGTCGCTTGGAAGATACAACGCGATCTAACCATTATCGAAAATAGGTCCGAAATTGCTCTTATTTTATGCTGCATTGAATCCGGACCCGTAGCACGCCCTGAAGCCTTTCGCAGAAGGATGAGTATTCTCGAACACCTCCTCACCCGAGGGCTCTCTCCTAACGCCATGATACACAATAGCATTACGTCGACTGGCTACTTTCATGAAGACCTGAGTTTCTGGCAGCAATTCGTCCTGACCCTTGGACAGAGGCCATTTCCGTCGGATGAGACCAAAAATGTGTTCGGCGAAGTAGTGGAGAGCTTTCTTGCCCGTGATGCAGACCCTTACGTGTGGATTTCGAAGGCTTTTCGAAGTCTAAAGGACGGGACGAGTGACGAAATTCTGCAAGTTACTCTGGGAAGAGAGCGATCTAAGACTATATCACTGAAGGACTTCGAGGCTTCCGAATACTGGCTCCCACATTTGGATGAAACAGGCAAAAAGGTTCCGCTCCGAGACATGATAGAGTTCTGGAACTTTGATAACCAGGAGGCGATCCTGCAGTTACTGGATGCGAATGTGCGGCGACGAGAACTGATGGCGAACGTGGACGACGTGTCAAACGATCAGCTACCCAAAGACCAGGAGGAATGTGTGATAGAAGCTCTGGACACGCCTGGACTTCAGAAGGAACCGCCAACCACATCAGCGTCAACCTTGAGAGATGCGGTCGCGGAGAAGCCGGCGATGAAGCCTTGGACCACGAGAGACCTCTGGTGGTTGCTCCAATGGTCGGTGCGAAGTCATCTTCTTCCATTCGTGCTCGGTGAGTGTCTACTGCGGTGGACCCGGTATCCTTGTCAACTTCTGACGAACTATTCCAGGCATCCTTGTGGCCTGTGCTTCGCCTCGACTGTGGACTCTGCTGACAACACAGTCGAGTATGCGAGAAGAGAGAAGAGGCGGGGGGATCTCAGAGCTGTGAGCTGGATGGAATCTCTGACTCAGTGATCCCTCCATTCTGCTGCCAGCAGTGCGCTTCGCTCTCTGTCGCGGCAAGTAGCGAAGAAGACATTTACAAGCCATTGGAATCTAGGCCTGTGCTGGTGGTCATCTGCCTTTCATAAGTGTCTTTGGCGTTGGATGTATATTTTATAGATATGAGCAGCAGGATCGCCAGCGACTTCCATATGCGGTATTAAGGCGATGATCTTTTTACTCATTACCAAAGGGTGACGACAACCACTTTCTCTCTCTCTCTCTCTGTGTGTGTGTGTGTGTGTGTGTGTGTGTGTGTGTGTTTCTATGGTCCTCTTCTCCTCCTTGTTACCTTGACCCAACCTTCTCATAGCCTAGCCGAGTCCATATAATTCTACACCGCAGAACGCCTGTATCCAATCGAGCGATATCACACAAAACATAACCCAAAAACAACGGTCTCCCCTTTTACATGTGTGTAACAGTGTGAGAGAACACCTTGTCGCCATGTCCGAGATCAAGTCCAAGGGCGGAGTGCAAATCGCGAAAGGAGACACGGTCAGCACGCCTGTACGTACAGCATTTCCACTCATAGAATAGAGAACAGGAGGCGAGGCATGACGAGAAATGGTGTATAGAGTCAGATTGCTAATTAGGGGAACTTTCTGAGATTTGGAGGATAATAGTATCGAGGCGGGAAACATGAGGGACAGGTTCGTCTGTCCGTCGCGACTAGATTCGCGTTTCTTTTTCTTTTTCCGTTGTCACGTTGTTAAGTCGTTCCCCCCTTGGGGTTGGTGTTGACGGTGACGGTGGTGTTGACGTTGTGGACGATATGTCTAGGTCGAACAAATTCTCCCTAGTGACGACGACTCGCAACATGCAGAGGAATTGCTGAGAGACGTCAAAGGCGCGACACACCCGCCCGCAGTGGTCTTTACGGACCAGAATGGGAAAAGGGTCGCGCATCGGCCGGGGACGTTGAGAGATTTAAGTAAAGATGAAGATAAAGATCATTAAGGAGGCCAAGGAAAGAAAAAAAGAAGGATGGGGAGAGGGAGAAGGAGGTAGAGATGGAGGGAGGATCCTATACTATTTAGTTAGACTAACCGGGAAGATTGCTACCAACTCAAAGTATGATCTATGTAAGACCACATGAGTGCGTTAGGTACTATGTACAGTATGTAGAGGCAGAAGAAGAGGGTGGAGATGGAATACTTGACCTCCGTTAACCAATTAACCAAGTATCTACCTAACTAGTTACTGGGGGAGCATGACCCCCATCAAAGGCAAGTAATATTTCAGAATTCGCATTCACATCACAGTCGTTGGTAGCGAGAGTCAGAACATCCATGACCTAGAAAAACGGTCGAGACTGACTGGTCAATCACCTCCTAAATTATATTATTCTCTTTACCATTGTACAATGCACTATGCATCTACTTGACCAAGGCCATTAGGAAGCCGTCATAGTTCTTCTCCGCCACCGTCTGGACGACGACCGCGTCGACCCGGTCATCCTTGCCCACGGCCTCAATCAGCCTCCTCGCCCCGGCGATGCGAGGATCGTCCTTGGCGGCCTCGTCGGCCAACAGACCCCGGCGGACGACGTTGTCGACGTAGATGCTCGTCCGGGGCTTGGTCATCTGCAGCGCGTACTCAAAGTAGGCCAGGTTGTTCTCTTTGTCGGCGTCGATGAAGACAAAGTCAAAAGGTGGGCGCTTGCCGGCTTGGACTTCGGCGAGCAGCGCGGGCAGAACCTCGATGCCCGGCCCCAGGAGCACCGTCACTCGATCGCTCAGGCCCGCGTGCGCAATGTTCTCTTCGGCCACTTTTTTGTTCTCCGGGTTGACCTCGACCGTCGTCACTTTGCCGTCCTCCCCCGCCCCTGCGGCCAGCCAGATGGCCGAGTATCCCCCCAAGGTGCCGACCTCCAGAATGTTCTTCGCGCCGGTCACCTGGATTTGCAGCGATAGGAACTTTCCCTGTCCAGCGAAGACTGCAATGTCTGGCAGACCCTTGGCGAGAGAATTGGATCGCGCGAATTCCAACGCCTCGTGGTATTTGTTCCGTCCGGGGGCGAGCAGATGGGCGTTTGTATACTGGTCCACGGCCGTCCAGCGGGGATCGTGCTCATGGACTACCGAGTATCCACCTTGTGCCGTCGTCATTGTCAATGCAGTGCTCACGAATGTGTCTACCTCTAACCAGAAGGATGTTGGGAAAGGTCAGTCTGGCGTAGCCTGGTTGTGGTGACTCAATTCTCTCCAGGAGGACTACGAGCCCTTTTAATCTTTGCTTCGGCCTCGGCCTTCCTCCTTCCGAGTTCGGCCGATATGTCTGGGTGTAAGGGTGTCGCAAGAACTGTTGCGATGGCGTATTCTCCGTCGTGGCTGATGCTGAGTTGGGCCACCTGCTCAGTCACCTTGATGGTGGAATCATCCGAAGTGGCCGTGGTCGCGGGAGCCTCTGGACGCGTATCACAGACGACGTGGACGGCGCCGTCGGATTCAATTCCGACCCTCAGATCGCGAAAGCTGAGTAATGAAGCGTCCCAGGCCTTTTTGGCTGCCTCCTTGGACGCCCAGCGGCCGGCGATCCAGGCCACCACCTGTTTTCTAGCGAGCTGGTCGTGACGACCTGCGTCATCTTGCCAGTGCGGGAAGCGGCGTCTCAAATCCTCGAGCTCGGCGGGGACAAGGAAACGATTGGCCAGCCTGACCAGGCGTCTGACGTCTGGTTGGAGCAATGCCGAGATGCGCTTCGTGGCAACGATGTCGGTGCCAATTCGCAGCGCTAGAGGGAAAGGAGCCCGCATTCATTCGGCTTGTCGCGCGCGTACCGGAGGAAGAACTTCTGCGGGGATTGAAAGGGATCTTTTCCAGGGCTTTTTAAGAGAGGAGCTCTGTGTAGCGGAGTGCTTGTTGACTTTCTGGGAGGATTTGGAGAAATGGTCAATTGGAAGGACGGAGGGACGAATGAAGTCTAAGGTGGCCAGCAACATTTGGCGAGATTGATTATTCGGTGACTGCGACTTCAGCCACGCAACAAACTCTCCTTCCCTATTAGGCTTGTCGATGGAATAGCCACCGAATCAAAGATTCAGACAAGGGAAATGCTCGAATCATCATGGACCTCTACCACCCATTCTGCTATCTACGGGCTATTCAGACTGCTATCACTTCCTCATCCAAGTATTCCTGTAACAACAGATATCGCCCGCCTCCGCGCAACTCCGCACCTTTGCGGGGCCCGAGGCCAAAGACAATGAATAATATGGCATTGATCTCCTGCTTCTCTCTTGTTTGCGTGTAGCAGTCTCCATCTCTCTTTCCCCGCCGCAAGACCAAGACACAAACCAAATAGCCTTAAAATGAAGCATATCAAGTGTTCAGGGACGCCGTACGAGGTGAGATTACGTTGTCAAACCCCGTGAGATGTACAAGTGTTGACGTGCGCAGATTGGTCGTCAACATGGCGAGGCAGCCAAAACCGAGGTTCACGGAAGCATGGCCTTCTATGGCGCTTACTTCAAGGAGAGGGCGAAGCTTTCGTGGCCACAGGTGCAGGATGTAGCGCGAAAGTCCCTGCCCTGGTTGCAAAGTTCGTACCCAGAATATGTCGAGGAGATGCAAGGCGTTGCCGACGGCGCGGGCCTCGATCTCGAATCAATCGTCGCACTGAATGTCCGCACCGAGATTGCCTTTGGCATGGTGAGTGACGGCTGCACCGCGCTGGCCTGGAAGACGTCAGACGCGAGTTTCCTGGCGCAGAACTGGGACTGGAACTTTGACCAAACACCCAACATCATCTGTCTCTCAATTGAGCAACCGGGCAAACCCAGAATCCATATGATGAGCGAAGGTGGAATCATTGGCAAGATTGGAATGAACTCGGCAGGTGTCGGCGTCACGCTGAATGCCATCCAAGCGCCGGGCGTCTCTTTCGACAAGCTTCCTTGCCATCTTGCGCTGAGGACGGCACTCAATAGCACCTCTAAAGACGCAGCAGCAGCCGCGCTTCGTAAAGCAGGAGTGGCTTCGGCTTGTCACATCACCATCGCTGACGCTGCAACTGGGGGCGTTGGATTTGAATGTACAGCACTTGACATTGTGGAAATGCCCATGGACACGGACGGCGCATTGCGTGGGTCGTGTACTCACTCCAATCACTTGGTCAAGCAGCACAAGGTGGCAGGGAACGTACTTGTCGCCGACTCCCCCTTTAGGCTCGACAGGATCCAAGAGCTAATGAAGGACATTGGCAAACCGACCATGGAAAACTTGAAGGAGATTCTCAAGGACGAGAAAAACTATCCCGTCGCTATCAACCGAGCCGTAGGTGAGAAGAATACCAGCCAAACCTTGTTTTCCATTATCATGGACTTGAAGCAAGGCTTTGCCGATGTCAAGATGGGACGACCAACAGAGGATGGGGAAGCGTTCCAGCTGAGACCATAGTGGACATTGCGACACAAGGACCGAGGCGATCTCCTCTGTCCAAATAACTTCAAGTCTGGTGTGGTGGTTTTCGATCCGTCTAGCTTATGTACAATGCGTAGGTTCGTCCGAACCAATGTTTTCTCATGCTGCTGTTCTTCTCTCTAATGCGCCTCCTTCCCCGAGATCTTGTTGCCCTTGTCCTCTTGCTCCACCTGTTGTAGAAATTCCCTGCCAAGGTGTTAGGGAGAGCTTCGGCAGCCGAACAACGGGCGTAAAGCTCCTTACTGAATGAACTTCTCCTCGTCCTTGCTTGAGGCGTTGATCGGAGGTGTAGTCGATTTCTTGGCTCCACCGCCTCTCGTCAGCAGGTAGGGCAGACCAAATGCGGTGCTGAGCGTAGCGATAGCCAGCTACAGATAAATGGTCAGTCGATGCGGTCCGAGGGAGGACATTTCCTCAACGCAGATTGAATTGTGACAGAGCTGGATCGATCACGGTCACGTACCCAGTGGGATCCGACCTGGCGGCCTGCGACATTATACATAGCAACCATCTTGACGGTTTGACGGGCTTTGCGAAGGGGATCTGTTCGAGATGGCGTGGGAGTGGTGCGGGATTGCAAAAAGATGAAGCAGATCGAACTGAAGCCCCGAGATTTTGCGTCTGAGCTGCTGGAGCTTCGTTCAATGACCCGCCGCATGCACCACGTGCTACGGTGGGCCACAACAGAGACTTGTGCGGTTGCCGCCTAAACCACCTGCGCTTCATCTCGGCGGGGAGCTGGGAGGGCTCCGGAAGCTGCAGGGAAGGGTCATTGCACCAAATCAGTAACTGCTACGACGCGATCCTGAGGCCTTTTTTTGCCTCCATACCATATGAGCCGGTTATATTGGGCGACAGGCAACTGCAAACGCGCCTGTTGAAGTTTTCCATTTCCGCCTGCACTCCCCAAAATGGCCGGCAGTGAAGGAGACCGCCCAAACTCTGCCTTCCCACGCGAGCAGTTGAACAAAGACCTCCAAAAGCTGGTCGACAAGCAAGATGACTGGATGGACAACTTTTACGAGGGGGCTGGGCCCGACACCACCGACACCAGCATGCGATATGCCGCGTACGCGAACCGTCTGCGTACCATCATGTTGAGCGCCCATCGATATGTTGCGTATACATCGGACATTGGCGAGTCCTTTCGCCCGGTCGCACACCCCATACTAGTTAGAAGCGCGTACGCGGTGTCATGGGCATACGTGCTCGGTGATGTTGGGCACGAGGGATACAAGGCATACAAGAGGAATCAGAGGCTGCTAAATCCTCAAGCCGATGAGGGCTCTGATGGAACACCAAAAGAACCTCTGGGCAAGGCCGATGCTGAGGCAGCACCACAACAACCCATTCACATCCCTGCGATCGAAGACTATCGGGCTGTGATGGCTCAGCGAGCTATTTTCCAAAGTCTCGCATCAATGGGGTTGCCCGCGTTTACGATCCACTCGATCGTGAAGTATTCAGGGAAGGCGCTCAAGAGTGCGGCAAATCCAGCTATTAGAACTTGGGCCCCGATTGGAGTGAGTGAAGCGTCCCGAGACTTTTTGTTCGAGACTGACAAAATCATAGCTTGGTCTCTCGGTGGTTCCGGCACTGCCATATCTGTTTGACAAACCCGTGGAGGAGGCTGTAGAATGGACATTCTACCAAGCATTCAAGGCCATTGGCGGAGAAAACGCAGTGGGCAACAGACACAGTACAGGCAGAAAGGAGGCCTTGCAAGTCGAAGCAAAGATTCTCAAGGAAAAGAAGGACTTATAATGGCGCACCCAGGCTCAACGGGGGAAGAGGCTGTTTGACCTCTAAAATATTGTTGTACACATTCGACTGTGTCTCGCATATAAAGCATTTCTACTCGATCTGTCTACCTTCCCATGACAGGTAGCCATTGGCGGTCGTTACATGAGCGGTTGACCACCTACGAGCTGGTGAACAGCAGGTCGAGCAGATATAGAGTCTGTCCGCGTAACCAGAGGGAAATATACATCTACTCAACCTGACATTGTCGTCTCAATCCTCCGTCGCTCTACTCTCTAGATTTGCAATAGCATCCAAATATATGGCTAGCCTGATGGTTGGGGCCCCGGGCCGATGTCGGGTCGGTGGACAATGACCCGAAGGCGCGCAGGGACTCGATTGAAATTCCATGCGTTGCGGCGTAAATCTAATAATTTCTCAAGTTGACAATGGTCTTGCTCAGCAACACAGTCAGCTAGACGACGACGATCTCGAAACGATCGGGTACCTCTGCGCGATCTATCTGATACCCCACACGAGCTTCAACGCCCTCGAATTCAAGGTGCCACGGCTTCAATGCACGACGCGCAGGAGCCCCCGCCATCACCATGCCTCAGCCGCAGCAGCAGCAGCAGGAACCTCTGCTCGAGAATAAAGACAACGACAAACTCTCGGAGGAGCTGCCGGTTTGCTCGAAGGCGGTCTCTATCCCCAAACCCCACGTGCACCTCCTGTCAGTGGGAAACGTGTCGGTGGAGCAGAAGAAACCTGCGCAATGGAACACGAGGAATCTGGGGTTGCGACTGGGCGCCGATGTCACCTCTGCTGCAAGCGCCTCGGTCTTGATTGCTCCCATAATAACTGTCATTGACCGGTACGTGGTTCCGGAGAGCTGTGATACTTTTCGATTTCGTGGGAGAGCGGACCAGGCGCGCACCCTGCTACTTGACTCCAGACTTGGTCCTCGGGTCTGCTTGTTCGATGTCCTCCTGGGGTTCTGTCCGGACCGGACGTTGGGAGTAGGTGCCACTAACAGCAAGGACCAGATCCATAGTTGAGAAGGCCGCAAATGGTGCCTCCTTCTCGTCCTGCCTCTGGCGATCCTTGCGTCCAGCGATCACCCGTCCACATGCGTTCATTTTCTCCAGGCCGTTCCTGTTGATCTTCGCCTTGTACTTGTCAACCTACACGACAGCCAACGCCGTTGACACGCTCCACTCGACAGTTGCGTCCAAGCCAGCCTCTACAGTCTCTTCTGGCGCGACCAAATTCATTGCGACCTCGTCGGTGAATATGAGCGCGTGTGTGTATAAAGACTCGTGCTTCGCGCGGATGTTTGGGGCCGCGTCCTCTTCCACGGGGGCAACCGTTCCCAGGCTCTCTTACGCCCTCTTTGCCGTGCGGGATAGTCTGACGATCTTTGCGTCATTTAATCTACCGTCCATCATTGCGCCACAACTCGCGAACCTGCCTCTAGAGGTGAGGTCACGGTTTTCTCGCATTCTCTCCACGGAGTCGGGCAGGATGAACACGGCCCAGTTTATGGCGCCGGCTGCCATCCAATTGATATCGACTCCGATCCACCTGCTGGGGTTGGATCTGTACAATAGACAGGGTCGGTTGGGTTCTGGAGCACGATATTCGCGGGTCGTGCGGGATTGGGGCGTCAGTGCTTTTGCTCGGATGGGAAGGATCATTGTGAGTCCATGACTATTCTTCATACGCTCCATCAGTTTTCTACGTTGTGGAAAAAGGGATGTGGAGATTGGTAGCTAACCTGTTATCAAACCTACAGCCCGCGTTTGGCGTTGGTGGTGTCGTCAACGCGAACATGAGGAGGAATTTCATGACGAAAATCGAAGAGTTATGAGACCTATTCGACACCTGCAATGACTCTTACGGCGTTAAGGTTTGTCTCTGGGTGGGCTGTTTGCTAGTATCCTCGGTACTTTGGAGGACAACAAGCACGAGATAACCAAAAGTTTGGGACAACGGATTTATTTTCTCCTCGGACTCGGTATCTGCGGCCGATGGTGTCCAGGACGGTTACAATGTACGATAATGCTGGCAGTCATACATACGGTGGGCGTATGTCCTCTCGTGCTGTCGAAATGTCTCGACTCGGGCCAAGCCAAGGCTGAACGTGGCAGGGAATTGAGTTGGGTGTGATGTGATGTGATGACCTTGTGGATCTGAAGGATACGAAGGCGGCTCTGCAGCAAGGCCTGCGAGGGCATGTGTGAGACCTGCTTCTGGAGTTGTGGGAGGTGTTCCTCTTTCCCTCCCTCTCATAGATACTCGACTCGCCAGCTGAGGGCGTGGCGTGCGCAGTAACACAATACAATTTGTGCGCCCAATCACTCCCACAACCTTCTTTGGTACCGACGGTACTACGCCCCATAACTCTCCCTCACCTTCTCCCTCAACAGATCCAGCCCGACGGCCCTCCTCCACCACTCATCCCACCACCCGACAGGCCAAAACGTGCAATTGTAGAACCAGGTGCGCCAGGCGCCCGTGCCACGCCAGATCTCCACGGGCAAGCCACGATCGCTCCTCCGAGAAGAGGCTTTATTCCACGGCACGAGCACGTCTCTCACCACGTCGGCGGCCCATTTCTCCGGGTCCTCGCGGATGGGGAACGCGTTGCGCATCGCGCTCTCGGTCTGCTCGCGCACGGGCGCGTAGATGCTCCCGGGGGGCAAGCTGGCCCGTCCGTCCTGGTGGTTGGCGTGGAAGTGCGAGTGCACGCACCCGGTCTTGAGGTCGACGACGTGCACGCCGAACGGCTGCAGCTCGATGCGCATGTGCGTCGAGAACATGGCCGCGGCGGCCTTGCTGGCGTGGTAGGCGCTGTTGTGCGGCGTCGGCTCGACGGACGACACGGACGTGTTGTTCAGGATCAGGCTGGGCGGGGTCCATGAAGAATGAGTACAGGGTCGGGCGGCGTTGATTAGCAGTGGTAGGAATGCCTGCGTCACAGAGATGCAGGACCATACGTTCAGGTCGAAGAGGGCTTTGGCGTCCGGGATGGAAAGGTCCGCGACGGGCATGTTGTAGCCTTTTCGTGGATGGAAGTTAGTCAATGTAACAATGTGTCCCCCATTTCACTCCATCAGAGCAAATCAAGGACTCCGGTTGGGGTGTACATATGGGGAGGATGCTTCCTGAGGAGGAGACAATAGGACATGGTGCTGGATATGCCAGACTACCATCCCTGTATACTCCATCCAGCCTTTCAAGACCTCAGAGCCTCCAAGAAAGAGCACAGCCCCGAAGATCAACAGAAAAGGACAGCCTCAGCCAGCAAGAGAACGAATGCCCCCCTTTGGAAAGGATCAAGAGAAAAGAAGAAAAACAAACATAGTTACCTCCACCGGCATTATTCACCAGACAGTCGAGTCTCCCCTCGTCCTCACCCTCCCGCCACGTCAACCGCCTAACGGCCTCGACGCAGCCCTTGATGCTCTCCTCATCCAGCACATCCAGCGGCAAGCACTCGATCCCCAATTCCTCCAGCCGAGCCATCTTGCTCGGGTTGCGCGCCGTGGCGAAGACGCGCAGTCCGGCCTTGTGGAAGGCGATGGCCAGTGCGTGGCCGAGACCGTGCGCCGAGCAGCCCGTGATCAGTACCGTTTTGCGCGTGTCATTTTGTACGGGAGCGGTCGTCATGTTTTGGGTGCAGTGGTCCGAAGAGCCCCGCGTGGGCGTGACGTGAGGTCTGATTCTCTTTCGTTTCTGGAGCTTTTGCGGTTACCTCAACCCCTTCTCTCGAGTCACTCCCACAGGATCTTGTTCCTTCTGTGTACCGGGTGTGTGGTTGTCTCTTTGAAAATCTGTGTCTGTCGAGTATACCTAGTATGTATGTAGTAATGGAGGGCAGAGCTTCGACAGAAGGACGGCAGAGAAGACGTCAAGTAACCCGACTGATATGGGCTAAACCAACCGTGTAGCCAAAAGAGGAAGGTGGATGACTATTTTCCACTGTCATGTCAGCTCCCCTTTCTCCAGTCTTGTGACCATCAAGATATATATCTAATGCATGAACCTGTTGATGCTGATACGGATAATAAAAAACAAGACCCTCAAGAACAATATAAGTGCTACGCCTGATACGATAACAAGAGCGGCAGTCGAAGTGTCCGAGGCTAGATAATGCCGAGTACACGTCTACATGTATTTGCAGAGGAACCACTGAGAAAATTGAGATATGGGGAGCAGAGTCGCTATAAGAACAAAACAAACTAAAACCAAGAGCGGACCTGGTATATACATTATGATGATAACCTTCCTTCAGCGCCGCCTACACGTCACCCCGCAAGAGACCCATATCTGACACTGGTGCTTCCATCGTCGCATCATTCTTCGTATCGGTAAACAGTTCCAATCTGGACAAACCCAACGATCACGACCTCCTGCAGGTCTTACCGGGAACTCTCTGTGCTAAAGATTCCCGGTCTTTGACCTGTTAGGACAATCCGTTTCCTCGGTCCCTGGACATCTCCATTGTCAATCCCTCTTTGTTGGTTATGAGCACTAAGCCCTTCTGCAACAAAACCAATCGAGTAGGCACCAAAACCGAGCGCCGCAAAAGTCAATAGCGTGTACTTGACTCTGCGCACGAATCGTTTCAAGATACCCTCGTCCTGTGTATCACGACGGCCCCTGACCGAGTCTGATGCTGCGGACTTTTCGTCTGGCGCTTGAGGAGGCGACGAGGATGACAACGCATTCGGACGGATGGTTCCAGAGAACACATTCTCCTGCCTTCGCACTCTTGGCTGATTTCCAGGCGGACGAGATACAGGCGCTGTGGGAGCTGCTGGGCCAGGGATCGGGTCCAACTCGGTTGGCAGCTCGTCCAACACCGTGGCAGCTTCTTGATCCGGTCGCCGGGAAGAAATATCAACTCCAGGTGTAGATGTTTTCTCTTTTGCAGCCTGCGTGATACTCGAAGTTGTGACGTGTTCTGCTTGCTTCTTTTGGAAAATCAACATGTTATCGGTTCCATTGTACAACGAATATCCTGCTCTCTGCATGGTTTGGAAATGCTTCAGGAATTCCGGCGCGTTTTTAAGGCGGCCCAAAATCCCGATGACATTGCTGGACTTGGGCAATTCGGTGGTCGGTTGATTCATAGGAGAGAAGTTGATCTTCTCCGCCGCGGTGTCGTACGTAAGAATGAGATAGGGAGAGTCGAACTTTCTAATTTTCATGCTTTCGATTGGCGGAGGTTGCTCATCATTCCACACAGGTGATCCTGAAGGGGTGTGGACCGGTTCCGGAACTGTTTTTGGTTCCTCCTCCTGTTGAGGCTGTGCGATCGTTTGCGTGTCAGCATCGCTGTTTGTGTTCTGTTGAACAACGCTCCCAGTCGGAGCTTCAAGCGCGTCGACGCCTTTCTGCACTTTAATGTCAATCCTCTTCTTACCAAAGTCGGAGCCTGACAACTGAGGAGCATTCCAAGCAGTAGCGGGTCTCCCGCTTCCAATCCGTCTTATCGTATTCTGAGCTTCGTGTAGTTCTCTTCTCACTTCTTTCGCCCCTTGCATGACGTCGCTCAGCTTGTGAAGAGGCGGCTTCACTTCCTCTGCCTGTTCTTGCACTTCCGCTTGACTTGAAGCTTGTCGGAAACCCTCAGCCTCCTGAGCCTTGACCTCGACATCATGAAGCTCGGCACGGATCTGCTTCGCCTCATCCACCAGGCTCGCGAACTTAGGCTCGAATTTGCTTATATGATTATCAATCACTGGGTTTGTGGTAATCCCTGGTCGGACACTCGCGGTAGAAAGTGGATGAGGTTTACCTAGGTCGCGCTCAGAAGTGCTGGAGGCAGAAGCCACAGTTTTGGCCTCTGGGGAAGATTGTGCTGGCTGCCTGTGTTCAGCATTGATGGGTCCATATTCGCTTTCGTAGACAGCCTGTATATCTGCAGCCAGCTGCGACATCTGGGCCTTTTTCAGTTCCTCGTCCTTCTTTGCGTTCTCTGTCGCCTCACGCAAGTCAGCTGTGCGCTGCATGGCTTTGCTTTCATCAGCGAGGACTGTGTGTGAAGGTGTGAAAGTCGCCAAACTTTGGGGCTTGATGTTGGACTTGTAAATGGACGGAATTTTCTGTAGCGATTCGTCTTTAAAGACGAGCTTGTCGGTCAATCCCTTTACGGCATCGTGCCGAACATACTTCTTGTAATTCTCGTTCAAGTTCGTCATGGAGTTCATCGTTTTGGCTACGATTCCATTGGGATACTCCCGGATGTGCTCCCAGACATTATTGAGGGTTTTGGTCAATCTTTTAGTCGGAGTTTCGAGCTTTGGCGTCTTGGGCGAGACGATGCTTTCGTTCGCGGCATCTTGCTGTCGAGCCTCAAAGTCCGTTTCGAGTCTTTCTCTGGTTGTCCTCTTCGATTCTCCAGCCTCCGTTTTCTCGCTTGGTAAAGTCGCCGGTACGTCGTTTATTCCGACTTGTTTCTCTATAAAAGGGGTGGACTGCGGCGATGCAGATATTTGCCGATCAAGAGCAGTCTGCAGCCGTGGTGACTTGCCAGTTTGATCGAGAGCAGTCTTTCTGTTCACTCTTTCGAGGGCCGGCTCAAGCTTGTTCTTGGTTATGCTGATTGCTTCATTGACCGAAGAACCATGTGGATTTGTGGCATTTCCTGAGTCCTCGTTTCTTTCACGGAAACCTTCTCTAGACAGCCAATCCGAAGCATTGGTCTCGGTTTCTTTGTGAGCTCTTGCTTCGTAGGTAGTTCCAGAGAACAGCGGGAGAGTATCGTCCGGCTCAGGCGATTCTCGGGGCATCTTAGGAGCAGTGGTATCGCTCGTGACGGTCTCTGGCTGTGATTGTCCGCTAAGCTCTGTGAAGAGAGCTGTTGTGTCTATGTTGTTACCCTTGGCCCGGGACATCAAGTCCCGGAGTTCTTCTTTCCTCGAGCTGTGGAAGCCTTCTGTTTTTGTACTCGGAGCTGGATGATCATCGCTCGGGTTCTTGTCCGAAGCACCATAGCCGTAGACCCTGTGGGATTTATAGGTCTTGACTGGTATATCAACTCCATGTTCCTGGAAGAACAGGCTTTTCAAGAATGGCTGCTTCGAGTGCTCGTCAGACGACGCGTTATCTTCTTTGGGTCGCTGAGGTTGCCTTTCGGGCTCTGGCACTGCTGAGGACTGCACTGGTCCAGGCTCTTCCTTCCGTTCAGGTTCTGCGGTATGCTTCTTTAAGGGAACCTTTCTCATGGAGATTGGGTCGTATTCATATTCTTCCTCGCCAACGTCAGAAGTTGACTTCCTTACCTCTTGCTTGTCTGGCTCTGTTTCGAAAGAAGACGTTCTCGTTTCTGCTGCCGCATTGGTAGCCACACTTGGAGCATTGCTTGGCTCTTCGATATTGTGCTCCTTTTTGATCTCCTTGGGGTCGGAAAACCAAGAGAAAGATGTCCATGATGAATTGTTGGCTGATGGTGGACTCTGGAGCCGTCTCCCGAACAGAGTTCCGTATGGATCTCGCGCTATAGCACGGTCAACAGCCTCTCGGAAAGCATCAAAGTCTTTGTATATGGTCTGAGCATGATTGTCTTGTTCGTTATCAGGCTCTTTTGGTCCTTGGCTAGATGCCCCTGTAGAAGATAATGGCTTATAGTCGCAATAGCGGTGGGCCCAAAGGCGATGGTGACGCAATGGTCGAACATATGCATCTTCTGACTCCCATAACGCTCTCCTCCGAAGTACTTTGTAGTATCTTGATTTCATAATTTTGTGATGTCTTCTGGCACGCTCTTCAAAGTCCTCTGTGGGGGACCAGGGGCTCCCTGTCTGCCGTCCCCACCACCAGAGTGTTCGCACTTGGACTGCACTGACTCGAGGGGCGCGAGAGACATCGGCTCTTAGACGTAGGACCCTCATATTGGCAGAGAGGGAGTCTGTGCGAAAAGAGGCCATTGATACTTGGGTTGACTCGTCTCGAAGCTCACGGTGTTGCCTGCGTTGAGTAAATAGTGATCCTGACTGGAGGGCTTGAGATAGCGAGGGCCTAGAGTGAAATCCGGAGAGTGCTAAGGATGTAGGCGAACCCGATGAGGTGGCGGTGTCGCCAGAGAGCAGCTCGGTATCGTTCGTGGTCAGAGGACCAGCAATGGCGGGCCCCAATCCGACCGTATCATGTAGACATGAGGACGCACTTGACGATATGGAGGGCTCTCGGCCTAAGACAAGTGATGGTCTCGACGTCTTTTGTGGTCAAGAAAGTGATGGATGACAATCATAGCAGCGCATTGAAGGATGACAAATTGGCTAGGCAGATCTAGCTTGGGTGCGTTGGTGCGTAGAGTGAGCATGGGTGACAGAGGAGCACATGGAGGGGTAGTGGACGAGTTAGCGCAGCCAGGCGATAGCGACACGTACAATGCGGGATGCGGAGAAACCGCGTTCCGCCGAGCCACCAGAGCCGCTGTGGAGCGGACTGGACTTGCTGACTTGGTAGATCAGCTCTCCCTCTCGCGTCATGACCGTGGCAGATATATCATATGGCTTTGGGGTAATGTGCTGTGTGTGCTCAACAATGGCGTATATCCTATCTTTCGAAATACACCTGCAACATGGTCTCCTCATCGTCCCAAACCATCGCTCTATCCAAAATTGACCTAACATCATATTCAGCCCGCAGAACAACCGAAT